GTGGTTTTTATCCTTGCTTTGAGATCAGACTTTTTTTCTTTCACTTTCCTATACATTTTATGCCACACACTATTTTGATGTGTGCCATAGCCTAAGTGGTCAGGTGAGAGTTAAAGTCATATTAATGTTTTAAAGGGAAAGCATACCTATGGAGTTCCAAATTATTTTAGCTGTAGCATCTCTCTACCATAATTGCAGAAGCTTTATGTTAAGATCTATTTCAGTTGAAGGGAAAATATTCTCTGCAGTGTACAGCCTGTTTGGGCTGCCCACGTTTTTATTGTTAATATGATTGTAGTGTCTACTCAAAAATTATTTGGCTTTTTTTGCCTGGTACTAATTTGATAGAGTTTCTATTAATCTAGGTGTGGAATCTGTGGCTTGTTAGCATTGCTTTCACAAAATATCTATATTCTACATTGTCAAGTAACGGGAATTGTAGTAATCAGTGGGGTTCTAATGAGCAAAATAAGTTCTTCTAATCATCTCATAAACCTTTTTTTATGACTGGAAGTACAAAAAATTGTTGCTTGAAAGTAGCGTTATATTAGACCGCTGAAGAAACTGAAGAGACTTTTATTCCATACATCACATTGCCCTTATATCCCAAGAGTAAGGTTCTCCATAGGTAGCAAGCAACGCAAATTATGCTCACTGTAGCAAAAGAAAACATAATACTTCTGCTTGTCCTTAACTGTTTGAAGTAAATAGCCTGAATCTTTTCTCATTTACATGGGGGTAATTTGAAGGATATCTTAATATCAACATAATGCAAATGAAATTGAAATTCACTGTGGAGGATTTCTGCAGTTGGAAGCATCAACAATATGGGTAAATTGTTACTCAGCTGAACAGTACACAGCATTTCTAACAGAGCAACAATGTCAGAAATAACACCTAGATATCCCCATTTCCACTATTCTGCTTTAATTAAGTCGCACTCTCACCATATACACTGAGGAGTAAGATTCTAGGTGCATGTGCATCCTATTATGATAAAATAATAAAGGCTGTACATATAAGGAATATTTTTTATAATTAATACTTGATATTTGTATTCCAGCAGTCCAGGACTACTTAGGTAATGCCAAGACTATATTAGCAGCCCTAAAAATATATGCGTAAATTTAAATAGAAGAAACCCATGAAAAGCAGTCCCTTTGATAGGACCTCAAAACTGCTAAGTCACTGTAATTTAAAATCAGCTCTCTGTAACTTGTTTACCAGTCATGGAAACTAGACATTTCCAGTTATTTCTACAATGTGAGTGTCATGGAAAAGGAGGTGCTCTGGATAAGGTGAATAATATTTCTGCTTGTTGGGGAGGATTGTGATGGATGTCTAACCTGTAGTTGAAGATCTCGCATATGATTTGGATTACAAATTCTGTATTAAAATTGCAGTATGTTGTTTATATGGCATCAACAACATAAGGAACTCTAAAACCTTATGTAATTTTTTAGTTACTCTAGTTTTATAGTAAAAACCTTGAGCAAACTTTCTCAGGGTTGTCTACTTCTGAGAAGGCTTGAGTTTTGACTCCCTAAGAGTTTGCATTAAGCAAAAGGTGTTGGTGAGAGGAAGAAGACTGTATTATATGGGAGACTGAATGTAGGAGAACATTTCCCTTCATGAAGAAAAAGGAACGTACTGACAGGGATATTGACCAAACTGATATTTACTAGGCAACAAGTCCCAGGTGAAATTTATGTGGAAAATACTGGATGACAGAAATGTGATGTTACTATGGAAATGATTTATTATCAGCTAAAAGGAATTTTAATGGAGTCAAGCAACTGGCAATCTAATTCAAGGCACATTTTAGGTTTTGGAGTAAAGTCTGGAGAGAATATAGATGCTATATTTGTGTGTGATTTGTGCCTATTTGCCTAACACCACACTTCCAGCTTACAAAGGGATACTCATCTGCTGCTTCACATTCTTCATTGACAGAGAATGAACTTAGGATTCAGATGATTCAAGCACCATTTACCAGAATTAACTGCTGGAATGATTTTATAGTAAATGTCTTTTACTAATTTGCAGCCTTTTAAGTATTTACAGTTCTACTCATCCTATTCTGTACAGCACAACAGAGGCCAGATCTCCTAGCTTCAAGCTTACTCAAAGCCTGTGTTGCTTAGTACACAATCTTCAGCCACCCTGCTTCTGAAAATAGTGATTCTGGTTAACTAGTGTGCTGTAAATTGCCAATTAAAAAAAAATAAAAATAAATTAATAATAATAATAATAATAAAATCTATACATTTTTAACTAAGCAATGAAACATGTCTTTTCCTCTGACATAAAAATCTGTTCCCTAAAATAAAAGTCCTGTACTGTGGCCACAATAACCCCAGGCAGCTCTACAGGTTTGGGAAAGGGTAGCTGGAGAGCAGCCTGGCAGAGAGGGACCTGGGAGTACTGGTTGGCAACCGGTTGAATGTGAACCAGCAGTGTGCCCAGGTGTTCCGGAAGGCCAGTGGCATCCTGGCTTGTGTCAGAAATAGTGTGGCCAGCAGGAGTAGGGATGTGATTCTCCCCCTGTACACAGCATTGGTGAGGCCTCACCTCAAGTACTGTGTGTAGTTCTAGGCCGCTCACTTCAAAAAGGATATTGAGGTGCTGGAGCAGGTCCAGAGGAGAGCAACAAGGCTGGTAAAGGGACTAGAGGGAAATTCTTATAGGCATAGGGTGAGGGAGCTGGGGCTGTTTAGCCTGGAGAAGAGGAGACTCAAGGGGGACCTTATCACTCTCTTCAACTACCTGAAGGGAGGTTGCAGTCAGGTGTGGACTGGGCTCTTCTCCCAAGCAACTAGCAACAAGATGAGAGGGCATGCCCTGAAGCTGCTCCAGGGGAGGTTTAGGTTGGATATTAGGCAGTATTTCCTCATGGAGAGGTTGATTAGACATTGGAATGGACTGCCGAGGGAAGTGGTGGAGGCACCATCCCTGGATGTGTTCAAGGAAAGGCTGGATGTGGCACTTAGTGCCATGGTCTGGCTGATGTGGTGGTGTTAGGTCATAGGCTGGACTTGGTAATCTTAAAGGTCTTTTGCAGCCTTGGTAACTGTTTGATTCAGTGATCCTGTAATAGTCAGGAGTATATATATGCAATCTGAACTAAGTGAAAAGGGCAAGGAGTATTCTGTTACGGGCTTTTTACATGCTGGCAAAAGACTATGACTCTTGCATAGGACCAGCTCACTTAGGCCTCTGAATGCTGCTGTAATATTAGGTAGGAAGCAGTAAAGTATTTGTGGCCCTTGGGAATTACTGTAAGGATACAGTATCAGGATGCAGCCTTTCCATTTTCACAGCCACAGTCTTGAAGTCAGTTGCACTAGAGAGAATTTTTTTGGCAAGTGCCAGCAAGTGATGGGTTTCTGAGGATTCAAGGGACTTGGACTTGTAAGACTTTTTTGGTCATCTATATAATGAAAGGAACTCTGCTTTGCCCTGTGTGCTGTCCCCAGGTGTTTACAGTTCTGCTGACCAAGCATCTGCAGTATTTTTGCTATGTTTAGTATCTTAAGGCTCTGAACCATATGTAATATTTAAAATTTAAATCTAAGCTATATCAAGGACCTGGTGAGCCTAATCCAGGGACATTTTAAAAAAATCTCTATATAAAGTTTTTGTTTGTTTGTTTTTTTACCTATGCATTACCTTCTCTATGAGTTTAAGATTTCTTTTGGTTTTCTTACTGCCCTTGGGAAGAAGGCCACACTGCTGCTAATAGTTGCAAACTTTGTTTTTACATGTGTTGGACCTTGTCTAACAATCTTGATCAAGCCCCAGGTATTTAATATTTGTACTACTGTATTTGATTCTGCTGCCAAAATGTCTTTTAATTGGCCTCCCTTTTTACTGTGTGCTATTAACAGTATAGAAAAATGTTTAAAAGTGTGTTTATACCTTGTAAATAGAATGACTTATATTTTCTAGACATTTGCACAGTTTTTATACTTGCCAGAACTTCCAAGTGCTTATATTTGGCACTTTCACAGGATTATGTAGATTTCCTCCCACTATTATTTACAAGTGGTTATATAATGAGATCTTGGTTATGCATGGACCGATTTCCAGCTCTTCCCAGGCTGTAGCTAAACCTGCAATTGATGTGTTATGAATTACAGTATATTTCCATCAAATAAGCAGCTAATTTGCCTGCTAATGCTTTGTCTTTTCTGCTCTCCAAAGAAACCTCTTTCCAAGTATTTGAAATGTAAATATTCCTGTAAATTGTACTCTAATCTTCCTACATTTTGGAGTAACTGTTTTTATTTTATACAAGCTAGTATTTTCCATTATGTCACGTGAGCCCTGACTATATTCCAGTGCACTGGTTTACAATGTTAGATACTTTGTATTTTATAATGCTGTTTCAAGTGAAAGATGCCTCGTAATCTTTAAATATATGAATTATTAGTGGTTTGACCTGTATTCCAAGGCAAAGTGAAATCCTGTGTCCCCAGTTCAGAAAGTTTTGGAAAACTTGGGTCCATAAATGTGCTGATGGTTTTTATTATAAAAGTTAATACAAAATACTTACAATTGGTCTGCTCAGTTGGGCTTTATTCTTTCATCAGTACAAGCTGAAAGTCACTTTTTTGACATCAATAAATATATAATCCTGTACTCTTTGAATGGCAGTGGAGTGTGTGTATCGATTATCCTTAAGATGGTTTCTAGGAATAATCTGATTTTACTCTTTGCATGGAGAAACATGTAGCTGTGTTAACTGGGATTGTTTTCCTTGTTTAGCATTCCTGTATTCACAATTCAAAGCAAAATAATCCCATGGCTATGCTTCTCAAGTCAGATGCTGAGAAAATGCTAGAGCTGATACCTCTGTCTCCAAAATACCCAGTTCTCTGTGTTCTCACCTATTAAAGGATGCTCAGTCATCTAACTCACTGAAGGAATATGTCAAGTGAAGTAAATAGTAGGAATGGTGTTAGCAAAAGAGTCTCATGTTGAATTCTTCTGCATTACAGGAGTACAAGCGCAAGCTAGCCAGAGTGTCCCAGGTACGGAAAGAACTCAGGTCACGCATCCAGAACCTGCCTGATCTCTCTAGACTTCCCAATGTCACGGGCAGCCACGTACACTTACCGTTTGCAGGAGACATCTACAGTGATGACTGATAAAAAAACGTCCTTCCATAACCTCTACTTTTCTGTGAAATGAGGGGTAGGTCAGGCTGATTGGTACTCTTGTAGTATTATTTTTGTATATTGTTGGAGAGTGTCAGTAAGAAACCTAATAATTTATAAAAAATGGTTTAAAAAGTTGATTTGTTTACTGTTTTATTGGCAAGTGAACATAAGGGTACATTTATAAAAGTGGCATCTGTATCTATTACATCGAAGAGTGGATAATTATCTTATCTTTTGTAAAGATTTTAGTTGAGTGCCCTGTAAAAAAACATGCTAAGATTTTTCTTATGTACCCTATATTTAATGTAGATCAATATATAATCAATGCATACTTCTAATGAGACATTTTAGTTTCTAGTGAAGAAGTGAAATGTGGAAATCACAAGCTGGTGCTTGCAAGAAGGTTGATGCAATTTAATTCAAAGTTAAAAGAGATCTTACTATCCATTACATCTAAATTACCCACTCCCAAAACAAGTCAGGTGATTTTATCTGAAGTAAGTGTTAGTAACCAGTTTTGTATTGGAAAACATTTATCATGTTAGACTAAGTGGATTCTTAAATTACTCAAAATATTGCAATGTTTTAGTATAATTTAAAATTCAACATAAGAAGCTATACAATTGACGAGTTTAATTAGGTTTCAAAAATCTTTCTTTTTACAGCTGCTGAGTTTCTAAATTGAGGGACCATTCATTTGTACTTGAATCCCTTTCTGCAACATTCGTCTCCTTCTAAAAAGGTTAATTCCTGAAATGTGAAGCCATTTTACAGCTTCAATTAAATTGAAAGGTCATCCTCTAAACTGTCCCGATTGTTAAATGTCCATTATTAAAATTTGAAAATGCTATGTACCATCCATAGATGCAGGAACACCATGATACAGCCATGATGTACATTCTCTTCCACTGAGAAACCCCGGAGGCCAACATGGGCTTCCAGTCCCCCCTCCTCTACCCACTCCAGCAAACCTTTCTACATCTTGATTGTCTTTTTTCACAGAACAAGAGGAGGCAGTTAAGGCCTGTGTATAAGTTAAACTGTGGGAAATTATTGCTGAGTGTCTGTTTTCAAAAAGTTCTTTGTATGGCACAAATGTATTTGTCTACAGGTTGCTGAATTTGTCTGAAGTCCTTGTTACCATACTATGCACCAGCTTTTAAGTTCACTTAAGGATACAGACAGACATCTATCAGATAGCCAGAGTTTAGGCTTTTTAGTCAATCAGAATTAGGCCTGTAATTGTTGAGGAGTGGTTTAAAAAATGCCTACCTGTACCTTTGGCATTTAGATGACCTTAAAAACCTGAGCTGCAAGTGTTTAAGTGGGATATATCATTGGAGTGATCGCATTTTGCTTGTGAGTTTGCACTTGTCAGGCATTGTTTTGCATGAGTTAAGTTCACAGTTTACAAGTTTAACTCTCCTTCTCACATGAAAGCAATTTAAAAAATTAAGAAAATCTATTATTAATTTCAAAACCCACAATTTTTCAAAATAGTCCTGGAGTGAAAGTGTTGAAGACAATGATCTGTCATTTGTTATTGACTTCTATGAGACTAATCACTGGAATATTTGTTGGATGTGAATTGAGAATAATCTTTCTCTTTAAAATAGATACACTTGGACATAAACACTTCAGTCCCAGTATCTCTTCTCATGGAAGTTGCCATGAATTAGACCTGTTAAGTAGGGCAAAAAACCCCAAAAGCTAAAAACACAAGCTGTTGACACAGCACTCCATAGCACGCAATGTAGAATATTAATTGTATTAAAAAATCAGACTGATATATAAGAATCCTGAAAGTAGTTCATCAGAGCTCACTAGCTGTCCAAAGATTTGTAAGTTTTGAAGTGGCAATTTTCCATTCCGTAGGAAAAAAGAGCAAATACAATGAATCCAGAGGAGTGTTTCTTTCATTTAAATCTAATATGTAAAATTAAATAACACTTATTGGCAGCTTTTTAGTGTAGATTCTTGATAATAAAATAAATGTTTAGGTGCAAGCTTGATATTTTAAATATTTCTGTTCTAGTACCTTAGCTCATAAGTTCATATATGCATGTATGTGCATTACCATGGCAGTGTAGGTTCAGTCTTGCTAAAGAATAGCACCAAATTTCCAGTAGATATTAAAACACCTTTATCCATTAAGATTTGTAAAACAAGAAGGATAAACACTGAATTCCTGGTTGAATCCCATCTATGGAAAACTTAATTTGTACCCAGAGGTGATTGTTAACAGCAGTGGTGTTTCTTGTTTAGAGTGCACCGAACAATCTAAGTCTTGGATACACAAAACTGTAGGGAATTAAGCTTTGTCTTTTGCTACTTTAATTAAAAATAATTATAATAATGAAGTGGAATGCTGAATTTCCTTGATCTCTCAAGAGTACTAAAAAAGACATGACACTTACTTCACTAGACTTGTTTTTCCTGTTCATAATTCTTAGAGATAATGTTGCTTATCTATAGATAATGTAGAACTGATAAAAGAATTAGGGGAAAACTCAACTAATTCTTGTTGTATATAAGTTTTGATTTTGACAGAGTGCTATTTTCTGGAGATATTTTTCTTTATTTTACTGTGAAATTGTTTACTTCAAGGAATTTTTCATAGCTAGGGTTTTGGAAATGATCCCTCAACACTTACTTGGTGAAGAGGACTTGTGGAAGGTGAAGGTCGCTCTTATAGCAAGTGTCATATATTAGTGGCTGAAGGGTACATTGTTTTTTATCTATATAGGAAAGGTGGGAAAGGCATCAGGTATCAACTAGTTAGAAGATCTGTATTGTGACTGTAATAGTATAACAGGACATAACAGTACGATATAAATGCAGCCCTGTAGTATCCAAAAAATACCTCCAAATTCTCAGGTTCTGAAACTTAACATAAGTACTTCAGACATCTCAGGAAGAAAAGATGCTGGGTGGGGAAAGCAAGGGTGCCTAGGAGCTAAAAGGGAGAATATCCCTGAGTGGAAATGGAAGTAATAACAAATGTCAGCTTTTGTCAAAACTGAAATAACAGTGGGAAGCTTTGGGGAGCACTGTGTTTTAGCTGAAGATGGGTTTATGCAATAGAACTGCTTTGTTGCGTTACCGCCCTGGGAAAGAAGATGCATGGGTGTACCCTGCCTGGTCTGGTTCTACTCAACTGGAATTCCCACCCTACAAAAGGCACAATTATAAAATACCTGAACATTTTTCATCTAACAATATAAGAATAATAATCAGATTATTTGTTTCACTGTGTTGCACTTTTATTGAGCATTCTTTGGAAAAAGCAAAGACAATCTTGCAGCTCTTTGCCATATGAGAATGCTTAACTTGGAGGTCACTGGGACTGCTTGTATGTTCTACTGTTTGCAGGCTCAAGCTGTGTTTTTCCAGAATGTTTTGAGAGCTGTCAGGAATATTACCCCACTTCTCTGCTTTTAAACATAAATGTGAAGTGCTTAGTTACAAAAATTACCATTCTTGGAAATTGTTTCATTACTCCTTTTGAAAATGGAACTACAGCCTGCAGTAACATTAGCTTGTCTGTTTCACTCAATTAATGTTTGTATTAATATATTTGAACACCTTCGTTAATCCCTAGGAACACAACCCATACTACATGTTTACTCTGTGTTTTATCGGAGTAGTCTTCTGAATGTTGAATATGATATGAATATGATGATGATGATGAATATGAATGTATGAATATGAGTTTCATGATGATAAAATTACATTCCCGTTTTCCTGAAGTATAAAAAGACAGTGTGTTAGGACTTCCACAGCCTAATATTGCTCTCGTAAGTCACTGGTAACATGGTCTGGTACTTCAGTGATGATCCAAAATGCATAGGTAGGATGCAGTAGCCTTCTGTGCAAATGACCATGGAAGTCATGCATAGGCTTCACTGGGCCTCCACAGAAGAGCTGGATTTCAACCATTTGAAATGTAAGCAAAGAGATGGGGTTTTTTCAGTGGAAAAAATAGTGAACTAGAAAACCAGCATGTCTAAAATTTGACGGTTACATCTATATTTAGGGCCAGTTTTGCTCATTACTCATGCATATAATCACAGTGACTATTCCTGCAAGTAAAGAAAGCAGATTCAAATGTAGCGTCTGAAGTGGTTTTTTTTTTAATGAATGACCAATTTTGTCTCAGCTCCTATTTCAGTGTGTCATTTATCTTGATTAAGTAGTAAATCTCTTCCATCTTGTTATTTAGAAACCTAATTCTAATTTCATCTTTACAATATTTGAAGTATCCTACTAAGCATGATGTTTTTGTGGGAATTTGCAAAAGTTCAATAGCACTCTTTACTTGTTTGCAACAGAACTAGACTCAGTTGTTAAAAGTTTACAAGAAAAATTTGAAATTAACCGTGTTTCATTATTGTGCTCTTCTGACAGAATGTGTAATCCTTGTGTAATTTATGTCCTAGAAAATAACACCTGTATGTACGCTCTTTCATATTTAATAGAATAAACCATTGTTGTAAAAACATCTTTGAAATAATTGTTTATTACTTGCCTACTCAATCTCATGGTGTGAAATGGTTTTAATGTAAACTGCTCCCTATATGAGTCAACCAAAAGCTCACACTGATACTGAGGAAATTACATACTAATTTTTTGTGTGACAATTTAAAGTGAGGAAGCAGTGCATTAAGAATTCTGGGGTCATATCGCTAGAATCATACATTTCTTAAAAAGTAGTGTTGCTGATATACCATCTAGTTTGGCTAAAGGTTGTGTTTCTTCAGAGGCAGGGCTAGGTGCAAGGGAACCAGTTTTAATATGCCAGCTTGAGGTTCTCAATACTCTGAAATGGGAAAATGGCTCAAAGTGATGTTTCAAAATAAAACACATTTTAGTTGAGCCAGTTACTATTAAGACACACTGTAACATTTTCAGTATGTGGCATGATACTGTGTCAAAGATACACATGCCATTGTCCAAGTATAATTTGTATGAGCCAGGAAATAACTCTT